CATATGTAAGGTTAGTATCTAGGGCTCCTTGTAGGTAACTTTTTATAACCTCCTAACGGTGTGTGGATTTACTATACTTTGAAGGAGTAATACAGAACCTAGTAATGTTGAAATGACAGTGGAGACTGCTGTAGCTGCAAACTCTTTATCTGATTCCCTAACCACATCACAGTGGACTCTAGGATGCTAACTTCAGACCACAATGTGGCATCAATAGGTCACTGCAACCCCCAGGCTCAATCAGCCGTGCCAGTCCAGTTACTGATAAAATGTACTGTTTGTATACTACTGGTCAAAGCAATAGAGGGAACAGTAACACTAGAGATTAGTAATACCAAGGAGACAGTGCCTCCTATTAACACCCCACGCATCCATTTACTATGGTGTATCAGATGATGAAACAAAGATTGGATAACATGAAGAGTGAGTGTATCTGCCCAGGGTTCAGTTAACAAGAACCCATACCCTAGACATTCTTCCTAAAATTGGAATTGTATGATTTATAGGGGAATGAAGTAAATCATGTGTTAGTATGCAATTAGTGCAAGTAACATTAGTAGTCCCTGATTGGACAGATCCATAAAGACACACATAAGGGTTATAAACACATACCTTGAAGGTGGTAGTGCTATTAAGGGTCAAGAATACGCTAGTAGTATTATTAAAATGTATTAAACTGCCTTTCTATACCTGCCCATACTAAAGGGCAGATCCATCTTCCACAAGGACTTTTGAAAAGGCCCAAAACATCAGCTCATTTTCAGTCAAGGAGCTGGGGGCTAAACCCAGTGCCATGCCAGACAAGATGTGGCTGCATATCTGAATGCATAGCTAAATGATTTCATTGTCCCTTGAAAGAATGATATCAGTGCCACCTTAAAGTATGCCATTCAGAATGATTATTACACCAACCATCTAGGTGGTCATGGGGGTTCCAATCACTTATTTCAGCATTTTCATTTATCAGCTGGACTTGACCTAAATTCTCTCTACAATCAGTCCATGGAAGAGGAACATGTGGATTGGAATTGTCTGAGTATATCTAGGTGAGGTAAATGAATAATGGCAATATAACTGTATAAGCTTCTTGCAAGGATAATGGTTATGACTAACCCTATATAACCAGCAAAGGCTATCTGCCAGACCAGGGAAATTTGTAATAAATGAGTATGTTGTGCAAGATCAATAGGCAGCGATCTGATTGGGATGGAATCCTAAAAGCTGTATACTGCAGTGGTGAGCCTGCTGAATTAGTTTAGTCATTTTTTCTGTGTAGATCTGAAGACTTTTAGTAAGCTGGTTAGGGAGATAAAGCCATTAAATAGGTTGGGATTTATTGCCCACCACTTGACTAAGAAGTCCAGTGCGAGAGTGAGGAGTGGGTAATATGATCAGCATAAGAGGCACAGTTAGACTAATTCAAAACACCTTTCTATTTGCCGAAACTGTTTCTGTTATCTGGAGCTCTTTAAGGGCTTCATGTGTGAGGGTAAAGGGAGAATTCAAATATGGATTTCCTTGTAGTATTTTATATAGATTGTTTAACTGATATGCAGGTATTTCCAATTTTGGGTGAATCCAATTAATGTCCTTGAATAATTTTTGGAAATCATTTAAGGTTTGTAATGAGTCTCTTCTTAATGTTAATTTCTGGACTTGAACTGCTCTTTCTATTACCAGAGTTCCTAAGTAACTATAGAGGGAAGTAGTCTGAACCTTCTCTGGGGTTATGCATAACCCATATTGTCTCAAAGTCTGTTAAGGTTTTGCAAAAAGAAAGGTGAGTTTTTGTCAAGAATTGGCAGCAAGCAACATATTATCCATCTAATGTATTATATAAGCCTGGGGGAATTTTTTTTTCTAATAGGATCTAAAGCCTGACCAACAAAATGCTGACACAAGCAGCTGGGGCTATTCCTTATCCCCAAAACAGTTCACTGATATCAGCACATGCACTCAGCAAAGTTAGTGGTAGGAACAGAAAAAGTGGAGTTGGTCTTGTGGATTTAGGGGTTAGTAAAAAAGCAATAACTACCATAGATCAATAACTACCACAGGCCAGTCCTGTGGAACTGCAATAGGAGAGGGAAGTCTAGGATGCAGCGTGCCCATAGGGTAAATACATTAATTGCTCTCAAATCCTGGATCAGCTCCCACTTTCCCGATTTTTTTTTTTTGGTATAACAAAAATATAGGAGTATTCCAGGAGCTAGTGGAAGGCTCAATATGTTCCACTTTTAACTGCTCCTCTATGAATGCTCATAAGTGAATGAGCTTCTGCTTCTGTAGGGGCCATTGATCCACCCAAACAGCAGCACCAGTCTTCCATTTTAATGGAAGAGCAGTCTTTAGATGGGGAGAAGCCACAATGACCTGTATTAAAAATTTATCTCATAGCCAAGACCCTCCCTTCCATTCCTCTGATAGACTTCTATGGTTCGGGATTGCCCTGTTGATTTTTTTTCCCCAGTCTTTGTCCTGGAACATAGCCCATATTTTGCATCATTCTATAAACAGGTGGGGTTGCCTCATTAGTAATTGGAACCTGTCATTCTTTCAGCAGATCCCTGCCTCACAGATTAACTGGGGTCCCTGTGATGAATGGCTGAAAGACTCTCTTAAAGCTATCAGGTCCTACATAAGGCAGATGCATAGCACTGCATAGACTGCCTGGGTGACCTGAGCCCCATCAGAGAGGTGGCTGATGCCTGGGTGGGCCAGGTGGGTGGCCACTGAGATGAAGACATCACTGAGACATCTGCACCCATATCCATTAATCCCTGAAAATTTTCCTTTAATTTTAATTTAGTATTCATGGGCTATTGGCCTGTGATATTTTGAGTGAAGAATACCTTCTTATGGGAGGTACTGCTAAATCTTTTAGTCCCTTGGATCTGTTTTTGACTAGCAGTTCTAGTTTTGACAACAGGTAAAAGAGTCAATTGGGCAATATAATCTGGTTCAAAAACTCAGACAGCATGTGAACCACAACCCGAATTTCCCCCCAATAGTCTCAATCAATAACCCTAGGAAGTATCTCAATACCCTGTATATTTAACCTATTTTTTCCGAAGACCAGCCCCACAGTTCCTGTATGCCCCCCTCTTTTTTAATTTTAATTTTTTTTTGGTACTGGGGATTGAACTCGGGACCTTGCGCTTGGGAGGCAGGTGTCGGAACCACTGAGCTAAATCCCCGGCCCAGTTCCACAGTTCCTAAGGGGAGGGGTCCCCCAGATTCTCTTGGGAATTTTACCAGGCTTATCTCCACCAATCAAGGTCACCCATTCAGCAGCTGAAGGTGGAATCCTGTGCTTTCTGGGGTTCTGTTGGTAAGGGATTCAATATTCCTCCAGAGACTCACTGAGGATTGGGGATGTAAGCCTGTACTGGAAATGCTCCCACTGTTTGTTCACATCCAGTTTCCCATCAGTGGGGTGCCATCTTTGTGATATTTAGAACACTGATTAGCCCAGTGATTTCCTTTCTGACACCTAAAGCCTGGTGCTTTCCCTTCCGGGGTAGGGACGGCTGCACCTTTTTCGGTCTGGGTTGGGTACATTGTTTACAAATATGCCCTGTCTTACCACAATTAAAACACTGTATTTTTGAAGAAAAGGATTTTTTTTTTTTGCTTAAACTAAGCATAGGTTGAGTAAACACAGAAGACTTACAGCTTTCAGTACCTACATCTTGGCATGCCTTTAAATAATTCCCAAGGTTTTAGTAGCTCAGATGGGCCCTAATCCTTGTTTGCAATCCTTATTAGCATTCTCTCTCTCTCTTTTTTTTTTTTTTGGTACCGGAGATTGAACTTGGGACCTTGTGCTTGTGAGGCAGGCACCGTAACCACTGAGCTAAATCCCCCGCCCCTTACTAGCATTCTCAAAAGCCAGCTGTAATACAATAATCCCCACCACTTGGGCATGTGGTATCTGTCATCAGACCACTTCTTGTAACCAAGCTAAGAACTGGGCATAAGGCTCTCACAAGTCCTGAAGAATGTAGAACAAGGACTGAGTGGGAGTACCTGCCTCAGGAATGGTTGCCCAAGATCGTTTCATCATAAGAGCCATCTGCTGATAATCCTGGTCTGGAAGGGTTAACTGTTGCATTAGATCTGAGTATGGACTTGTTCCTAATAGCATATCTTCAGTAATCTCAGAATGTCCTGCTACTCGATTCTGTCACACTTGTTCAGCTGCTAATTCTGAAGATTAACATGGGAATTTAGATATTGTCTTGCAGAAAGGCAGGACCTAGCCAAGTGCAAAGCTCCTAGGATATTCGAACAAGCCCAACATAAAAGGTCCTTGAACCCCACTGTTCACAACACTGGATTTTAATTCTTTAAGCAACTTATACTTCAGAGGATGATGCTCATGAATATTCTGTTGTAGATTGTTACGGGCAGGATGAATATTAGCTGGAAATGCACATGTCCCAAGGGGCTCTCCATTAAGTGCAGCCGAGGAGACATTACTTCTGTATCGACTACAGATGGAAGGGAAGGAGGAAGAGGAGGGGCCAAGTCTCTTCACCCTCATTTTTATCTCCTCCAGAGGGCACATTAGATGTGGGCTGTTTCCCTGTAGTTAAAGGACAAAGAACTCCATGGACCAAGCTCCAAGCAGAGAAAGTTTCAGGATATGTAACAGAGCCCTGGGTATGAGCATGTTTTAAATTTTCTCCTACTCAATTCCAATTTTCTACATCCAATGTGCCAATCTGAGGGAACCAAGGGTTATTATTTTTTTTTTTTGGTACCTGGGATCGAACTCTGGTCCTTATGCTTTTGAGGCAAGCAGCGGAACCACTGAGCTAAATCCCCGGCCCTCCAAGGGTTATTTTGATAACATCTTGTAACATGAGAAAGTGATTGGGTACTAACTTGAGCACCAGACAGGTACAACAACATTTTAAATAAATGGACATAACATTCTCCAACTGACAAATTCTAACCCATTACCCTGGTTCAGGAAGTTTTTCCTGTGCACTTACTTTTCATTTCTTTGCCAGCTGGCTCATCTCCACTGCAGAACTCCGTTGGTGATTCACTACTCCTTCCTCCCTGGTGAATCTTCCCTGGTCAGTTCCCTGCTCAGGCACCACTTGCAGGAATCCAGCCTACCAGGAATGCCTAACCAGAGGGGGCAAAATGAGATTAAAGACAAGACAGAGATAATTTTGAAAGAGGGCCCAGGGGGCTCTTGCCTCAAGTGGACAAAGAGCCCTGCACATCTGGCTCACCTCACTTTTATTCAACTTAGGCAAAGGAGCAGCAGTTAGGTTAATGGAAAATTCATCTGTTTCTCATTATTCGGAAAGTGTACCCAGGTAAGTATTTCTCTAAACTAGACCTCAGCTGTTGCTGACTTCTTCTCTGGAACTTGCTATGTGCTAGCACGCCGGCACATTTCCAAAGGAGGACCAGCTAGCTGTTCCCTCCTTCATGTCCACAGGGAAGTTTAACTGGGCCGCAATTCTTATGTTTAGTTTCCCATACATACCACAGTACTCTGAAAAAAGAGGACATCAGAAAATGGAAAGATATCTCTTGCTCCTTGATAGGTAGAATCAATATAGTCAAAATGGCCATACTTCCAAAACTGTTATAGAGATTTAATGCAATTCCAATCAAAATACCAATAGCATAACTCACAGAATTAGAGAAAGCAAACCTAAATTTCATATGGAACCAGAAGACCTAGAACAGCAAAGGCAATTCTGGGCAATAAGGGAAAGGGAGGGGGCATCACAATCCAGGACTTTAAATTATACTACAAAGCTACATTGACAAAAACAGCATGGTATTGGCCAAAACAAATCAAAGAAACAAAACAGACTTATAGCTCAATGGAACAGAGTAGAGGAACAGAAAAAAGGCACACTTGGCTACCTTGTCTTTGACAAAGTGGCCAAATACTTTCTCTGGTGAAAAGACAGCCTCTTTAACAAATGGAACTGGAAAAACTGGCTATCCACATGCCACAGATTGAATTTAGACACATATCTCTCAACATGTTCCAAACTAAAATCAAAATTGATCAAAGACCTAATTTTTAAAACAAATAATGTGCTGGGAGACAAAATTGGTAAAATTCTTGTATGTGGAAATTCTTGTATGTAGTTGTATCCAAAGATTGAATAGAACCCTGGTTGTACAAGACATACAGTGGTACATCAATTAACAAACTTAATTTGTTCTAAAAATTGGAAATGATGGCCACATTTCTGTTTGTGTGGGAAAGATGGCTGAGGTCATGTTTGTCACCTGATGCAGAGTGTGCAAACAGAAACAAAATTTTTCCAAATACTTCTGTTTGTGAACTAAATTGTTTGCAAACAAAAGTGTTCAGGAACCAAGGTACAACTGTAATAACAAGAGTCAACAAATGGAATAATATCAAATTCAAAAGCTTTTGCACAGCAATGGAAACTAATATCTGGAATATATAAAAACTCAAAAAAATTAGATGCTCCCAAATTTAAAGACCCAATCAAAAAACAGACATCTAAAATGAACAGACACTTTGCAGATGAAGTACAAATAGTCAATGAATACATTAAAAAATTGTTCATCATCTCTAGCCGTTTGAGAAATGCAAATTGAAACAACACTGAGATTCCATCTCACTCCAGAAACAATGACTATCATTAAGAAATCAAATAAAAACAAATGCTGGACAGGTTGTATGGAAAAAGGAACACTTCTTCTACCTTACTGGTGGGAGTGTAAACTGGTACAATCACTATGGAAATCAGTATGGAGATTCCTGAAAAAATAAAAGCTAGCAATTCCATTTGACCCAGCTATTCCATATATATATATATATCCATCAACAGATGGATAAAGAAAATGTGGAATTTATACACAATGGAGCACTGCTCTGCCATAAAGGATAAACTTAAGTTATTTGTAGGAAAATAGGTGCACATTGAGACCATAATATTAAAAAAATCCATTAAGACACACAAGCTTAAATATCTCATGATTTCTCTTATATGAAAAACGGAATATAAAGTGCAAAATGAAAGACAATAGAAAAAAGAAAAAAATTTATTATAATCCAGTATGGCCAATGTATCTAAAAGTATACCTTGATTTAGTATAATTGTCTTATGTGTTTTTTATGTTTTTTGGTCTGCTAGTATGGCTGTTAATCTGTTTATGATATTCAACTTGATAAAGACGTAAATAATTAAATCTGATGCTGGCAAAAAAAGAAAATTAACAGGAGTGGAGGGAAGGGAAAATAAAAGAATTGAGATGTTATGTACATGTACAAATTCCTACAATGAATGCAATCATTATGTACTGCAAACATACACTAAGAAAATTTTTTAAATAAAATTTACATATGGGAAGAAAATAAAAATGAGAAGCCTTGATTTATTGGGAAAAGATTCTACATATTTATATATTCTGCACTGGTTAATTCCCCTAAGTCTGCCAAGTCTGATTCTGTTCCTTATTCTAACTGATTCTCGTGAAGGCAGCTTGTTTCCACATACATGTGTGGACTCATGATCCTAGAGGGCTACCGAGAATGATCTGACGACTAGGGTTAAGATACATTCTTCCACAAAGAATTTTTGCTGGCTTCTGCAAGGCTCTTGTGGTCCCTCTCATTTGTTGATGGCTTTAATTTTCTACTTGGTTTTCTGCAAACAGTTTAGGTAGTTTGAATTGTTCCAAACTTGCCTGAGGAACAGCTTGTGGATCAGATTCTCGGCCTCCCCTGTGCCATCACCCACTCCCGCTCTTGGCAAACCCCCAAGCCAGCCTGAGCAGGGAGGATTTTTCAAGGGATCACCTTTTGAGTTCTAGGCCTTCTGGGCTTTGATTCCACAAAGACTCAGAGATTTGACTTCTGCTCAGAAGCCAACTAGCTACAAGGAACTGACAGGTGTCCTGTGCATACCTGCCAGCTCCAGCACTCTTACTGCTCTGGATTTCTGGTTTCTTTTTTGCCTCTCAGGAATTTCCTTTCTTGCTAGCTCAGCTGTTTAGAGATTAAAAAATAAATTACCCAGGTTTGTACTCAAAGGGCTCTTACAATATTTGGTTTGCCATATTTTCTGGAATAGAAATCTCCCGCATAAAAGCAAACACCTTTCCTTTTTCTCAATGAAATCTGCTTATATCATGATGCACTTAAAAGATAAAAAATCTTTGCTGGTTGAAGTACATATTGGAGATTCTTGTGACAAAGCTTTTTTTTTTGGTACCGGGGATCGAACTTGGGTCCTTGTGCTTGCTAGGCAAGCAGCGGAACCACTGAGCTAAATCCCCAGCCCCTAAAGCTTTTTAATAATAATAACAAAGCTATAGTCTAGAAGAGAAATGGCTTGCCTGACTTTTTACCCAGTCAGTAATCGATGAGACCAGACCTCCCACCATGTCTTTATAACAAACAAAAAACAAAGTATAAAACAAGATAGTTTACTCTAAATGATTCAAAGAAATTGAATTATATTCAATTCTTTAAATTCAAAGAATAGAAAACAAGGATACAGAGTTAAGAGGTTATTCAGCTATAAGCATGACTTCTAGAACAAGCTCTAAACTATTAAAAGTACCAGTTTGAGAATTGATGTCAAAACATGGGAGTATTCAAAGCAAGCTCCAACAAACAAACAAAAAACTAGCTTATCATTATATACAAAAAGTTTATTTTAGAAGTCACATACTTTAAAAATAACATGTAAGTTCTCATTCACATAGGATTATTATTCATCATTTGAATGCTAGGATGTTATGTGGTACAAATAATAAGGTAAGAATACCAAGTCCATATTCTTGGCATTTACACTAGCTCAAAATAATTAACGGGACTTTTAAAAGGAAAAAAAAAAGAAACTATTTTGGAAACATACATATCTTATAAATGTTAAGTCTTGGACTACAAAGCTATTGCTAGGACTAGTCTAAAAACTGTGAAAAGTAGGCTTTATTATTTTATGAACAACTAAAGATGATCCAATGGAACCTGCATCAGGAGCTCAGCGTGGTTACTAGAGAAATATAAATCTGCTTTAGTTTCATACTTTGAAAGCAACAGGGAAGGCAAAAAAGTGGGGTTTTGCTTGGTAGAACTGGTTATCTTTGTTCATATTCAACAGCTTTCTTTTAATCTCATGTAAATGGTATCCACAGATGGCCAAGTTCAAATATGCATATTACAGAATCAGGATGCAATACTGTAAGTATACACTCACCATGGACAAAATATACAGTTCTGTCGAAATCTGATAAAGCCCTTTAACATGGTAAGAATGCTTAAAATGGCTTTTCTAGACCAGGGAGTTAAAATGATGCAAAATAAGCGAAGCAGATTTTCCTGTAAGCAATTACTTTTCATTTAACCTATAGCATTTTTATCAAATGATCGCAGATGATGGTCTATTACTCCTACCTAGATCATGAGGTTGTTTTCTAGGACAAATGTAAGATAGGAATGCAGGGTTCTCTCACCTAGACAGAAGTGAATCCAGAGAAATACTGTCACCTTCTAAAGAATTTCAAGAAAAAGAAAACATATCAGATGATTAACTGAATAAATCTACTGGGAATGTAGTTCCATAAGCATTTGTGATGAGAAGTCATACTGGAGAGGTGGAAAGATTTAAAACGACAAAAAACAAAGGCAACTGATACTAATCTTCATGAAGGTAAGCAACATCTGAGAGCAACAGCAGGCTCCCCATTTTGCTTAGATTGAACGTATTCTTGATTATTTCCCGTCCAATTGTAATAATCTTGTCAGAAATACATTTACTCAGGAGAGCTTTGGCAGGTGCTGAACAGATGTGGGAGGCATGATGACAGATACAGCTCCTACAAATCTTCAGGAAAAACTGGCCATTTCTTTTTTTAGTGCCAGGGATTGAACTCTGGACCTTGTGCATGCAAGGCAGGCGGCGGAACTACTGAGCTAAATCCCCGGCCCCTGGCCATTTCAATTGAAGTGAGAATTATGTAACACTAATGTTGCAGATCTGAGCTATATCATCAGAATGATGGCATTTTGGGGTAGAGCCGAGCCATTCTCAGACATGGTTCAATATGGCACACAACTCCAGATTCTCAGAGTCGCAGGCCTACTCAAAATTATATCTGGCAAGTTAATATACACAGGATGTAGCAAAGCAGGCATCAAAGTTGACAAAAGAACCAAATGAAAGTTACTCATGACATTCACTTGAGATCTAGAAGGCATTTTAATATTTTATCTTTTTCCAAGTGATCAGAGATTCAAAAGAAATGGCAAATCTTGTATTTTTAAAAACTGATAAAAATCACACTGTAATAATCAGTGAATGCAGAACAGCACAGATCTGTTTTCAACTTTTCCACCATGATTCTACATCAAGGTAAAAAAGATTCCTTTGTACAATCCAAGGATGTAGACAGAGGTGGCAGCACAACTGTGCAACTGGTGACAGGACATAGGGAGGGGGCAGAGTCCTTGAAATAAGAACCTATCAGCGAAGGCGGCTCAGTCCGTGGTTGATCTTCGGTACCAAAACCGCGCTCTGAAGTCATCACTGCACGTCATAAAGCCAGGGTTGGTGGGTGAGTGCACGATGCAGCGCACGATGTTGTTGTGGCCCAGGGAGAGGAGGTTTCTGCGCTCCGCTGTCCTCGAGTCCCAGCAGCAGAGGCTGATTGTCCTCTCATCAGGCAGCAGCACATAGTCCTCGGTGTGGTTAAAGACAGCCTGTGTCCGGTGCACCTGCCGTCCACTCAGACCTGCACCTGCAAGAGAAGCCACGAGGCTAAGGGCCAGCGGACAGACGACAGCTTTCGAAGCTCACATGTCAGCCCAACAGAATGTTCCTAATATTGTTCTGAATCCTTTCAATGGAAAAGAGCATCACGAAACTGTTTCAGCAATGTACTCTGTGCAACTGTTAAACTCCATAACGTGTCTATTCTCTACAATCGTTTAAACCAACTTTGAGATGGGCACATTTTTCCATGTTTCTTACAAGTTGCAAAGTATCCTGTGTCTACAAGACTCATTCCTGTGTCTACAAGAACCATTACTTATTTAACAGTTCTTTTGATGTTATTTAGTTTGTCATCACCTGCAAACAATGTGATCAACATCCTTTGTACGTACAGCTTATTTCTCTAGAATTAAACTCCTAAGACAAGAACTACTGGGATAAAGTGTATGAACATCCACTTTCCAAAAGGAAGCCTTATCCTTTTATAACAATAAAATAGATTATTTTGGGGCCGGGGATTGTAGTTCAGTGGTTCCGCACCTGCCTGCCAAGTGCAAGGTCCCGAGTTCGATTCCCGGTACCAGAAAAAAAAATATTTTCAATCAAGTACATGAAGTATAAAAAAGAAATTAAAACTGCCAGATAATTTCACCACCCAAAGATAACACTGAATATTTTGGAGGCTGTCCTTCTCAAATGCCTATTATTTCATACTAATTTGGAAGTAATAGTAATCAGAGCATTCCTCATAGGCTATTTTCATTCAAAAGTAAGCAGTTTAGATCTAGAAAAGAAATACAGCTTAGTGAATTAAAAACAGACTTTGTGTTCAGATGGGGATTCAACACTTATTCATGACGTGGTCTTGGGCAAACTACTCAGAAACCTTACTTTCCTCATCGTTCAGGGAGATCATTACAGTGCCTACCCCAGAAAGATGTGGGGACTAAGGTGGAGTCTCCCACAGGAGCCTCCAGTGCAAGTGCTCAAAAACCATTGTTACCATGAATATTTATTTTTAAGGCTGCACACTGTCAATAGATGCACAATAGATTTGATGCTCCCTGGAGGACTTTTATGTTGTTTGTAACTTTCAACACTTCCAAATAATGGTAAGGTAGATATCCTTCTGTGCATGCACATGCACGCCTGTTCAATTATCTTTTTAGGGTGAATTTCTAATAGTGGATATATTGTGACAAAACCCATACATTTAAGATTTTGATACATGACACCAAATTGCCCTTCAGAAACATTTACTAACTGAACTTCCTACCAATAAAATGCTGACTTCTTCAAATCCTAATACTAGAGAATACCAATCTTTTAAATTTCTGCAATCTGATGTACAAAAACAAAAACCAAGATACTCTCATTTTCACTTTTTGGGTATACAGAGAAGATGGTCATCTCATACTTACTGGATATCTGAATTTCTGAGACAGGGTATCAATTGTTTGCTAAATTGCCTATGCAACCTGCAGTCCTACCTCAACTTCCCAGAGTGCTGGGATTGCAGGTGTGCACCTCAACTTTTCTTTCCCCTCCTAAGACAGGGCTTTATACTCTGTATAAGTCTTGGACTCCTAGGCAGGCTGGTCTCAACTTTGTGATCCTCCTATCTCTGTTTCATGTGCTGGGATTATGGGCATTTGGTACCACACTGCTTGATAAGGTGTCTTCTTAGGTTAAAAATATTAAACTGTTCGACAAACACATATACACACATACAGAGTCTGCCAAAAAAGTGTATACACAATTCAGGGGAAAAAAAAAAGTGCAATGGTTTTTGAACAGGTGGTGTTACCCTCCTATGGGAGACCCTAGAGGATGTCGTATATCGCAGAAAACCCACTACACTGCCGGTCCTTAGAGAAGAAATTGAAAAAACATGCACAGCAATCTCAACGGCCAAGGTTACCCCAGCAGCAGTTCACCGTACTCATCAATGTCTGGACGCTCATGCCCACCACTTTGAGCACCTCTTGTAACTGCAGAGCCCAAAAGTAACTTGTATTAATCTCATGATACCTCAATAAATTTAGCATTAAAATACACAAATTTTTCTTTGCCTGAAATGTGTACACATTTTTATGGCAGACTCTATACATACATACAAGTACTATGTTTAGCATTTTAATTGCTCCCAGAGTTAATTGAGCATCAAATTTCCCTCCCTCCATCCTTTTCCTTTCTTCCTTCTTGTAATACTGGGATTAACACGTTCCCACCAGCCAGCAATACATACGTGACTCTCCTCAGGAGTGGTAGTACAAACGGATCTAATCACTTTTATCAGTCTTTTAAAATTATTATAATAATCAACAAGTTTACTTCAGTAAATTAAATTCATTTATATTTGTGAATTTCTTTAGAACGTTTTATAAGTAAAGGTGGCTGATTTGTGCTGGGTGTTCAAAACGTCCTCACATGTTTGGCTTTTTTAGTGGTCAAAGAGGCACCCATTTTTTTCAGAGTCATGGAGGTGCCACTGGTGGTTCATTCAAGCCAGCAGGATGATCAAACTCAAATCAGAGCTGCCTGGCAACAAGGCACACAAATTACAGCCCCGTAGTGAATGTTAATCTGGGGCTTTGAACATGCTAGGCAAGTACTCTACTACTGAGCTACATTCCTTTTCAGTTTTAGACAAGTGTTTCAACCAAGTCATTGAGACTCAGGATAAAAATGGCTCTTCCAGAGATGTGCTGGGTGCACTATATCTGCCAGAAGGCAGCCAGCCAGCAGGGAAGCGAGCGCTGGCTACATGCTGCACCTTAGTAGTCCAAATGTCACCAGCCCTTCAGTTTTCTTCTCCAAGATGCGAACTCACAAAGGAGAGCCCCTTCCCATAGTGTTGCTTTCTTGTGTACTTTCTGAGCTAGGATCCTGGCATTTTAGTGTACAACACAAGTACTTCTCACAGGACAGGAAACCAGTGGAAGTTCCCTGGAGGCTTTTTACCGAGTACAATCTCTGCTGCTACAGGAAGGGTGAACTAAGACGCTATTTTAACAACCCCTACCAGCAAATAACCAGACTTGAACCCTGACTGCCAATGATTGGCTACATTTATGTAGATTCATTATAAGAAGAGCTCATGGGCATATTTGTTATCAATGATGGACCCCGACATGAACTGATGAGTGTTCTGAGTTTTAATTTTGTTTTTGTCTGCTGAGCCCACTTGGTGTCTTGGTATCTGCGGCCACCTGTGGTTTCATTTGGGGGCTACCTGTGCTCTTATGAATGGGCCAGTATCTTCCCTCTTCGCCCTCCTTTTTCTCTAGAGTACACCATTACTGAGATCCATTAACTGAGGCTTTTCCCTGGGCTGTGTTCTGTTTCACGTGTCTGTGGGAACAGGGCGAGTCATCAGTCTCCAATGATCACCAGGTTCTCAAAAGCTATCCTCACAAAATCCAGGCTTCGTCAAAGCCAGTGGTGGCAAACCTATGGAACGTGTGCTGCAGTGGGCTGTTAGTATCATTGAAAGCTCTAAAAGGTTCACCATCACTGCTCTACACTTTTATGTACCAAGAAGAGCAAAGTTGAGAAAGCATGATTTTATTCCCAGCTCTACTTCTTACTAATTGCAGCCTTGGCAAAACAATTTAAAATAAGTTTTGGTTCCTCTTACCTAAAAGAGGGTTAACATCTCTAGCCCAAAGCACACATTATCATGTTGCTCTACAGCAAAGATGAGTTCTGGAATCATAAAATGCTACAGAATGGTAATAATATCAACTTCTCACATACCTGTGTATCTGACCAGTGTTCGTCCCGTTGATATCTCCCAAAGTTTAGCTACAGAGTCTTTTCCGCTTGACAGAATGTATTTAGAATTTTTGGAAAAAATGGCAGAACAGACTTCAGCACCATCATGTGCTTTTTCAAAAGTTGTGATGCATCGATTTGAAACACCATCCCATAATTTGATGCAGCCGTCCTTGCTACCAGTTACATACATGTTGGCACTGGGATTGTAATTAACAGAACATATAGCATCGGTGTGCTGGTCTTGAGGATTGCAAGAGACGAAACACTGAAAGGTGTTGATATCATAAAGGCGTAGCGTAGGGTGCTGAGTCCCAACAAGTATAAAGTCTCCAGAAGGGTGAAAGGAGATGGAGCGTAACATTTCTGCTTCCTGTAATGACAGACATCAACATCAGTGATCAGAGAAATGTGGAAGATATTTATTTGGCTGATGCAAAGAAACTATAATATTAATCTGTGGCACACTCACGCACAGTTACTGAAGTTAAACAAACCTGTAAATAAGAATACCCTTTTCTCTTGCCCCCATTCCAGTTTTTCTTGGGACAGGGTCTGACTATGTAGTTCAGGCTGGCCTTGAACTTGTGATCCTCCTGCTTCAGCCTCCTGAGTTCTGGGATTACAGACACCTACCACCAGGCTTGGCAAGACTAGATTTGCTAATTTGCTCCGGGCGCGCAGATATTGAGTACTAAATACTGAAGGGTGAACACCACTACCAAGACATTAGTATTTCAGTAATGCGTATTCAAAACACAATACCAGATGTCACTATTCCAGTAACACCTGATAATCTGAACGGAATGCTTTTGTCCATTCCCATAACTTACACTTTTTGGGAAGGTGATATTTTTAACAGGCATCTGCAATCTTTCAAGAGTGATGTGGACTTTGAATCTTTGTCCCAAGAGGAAGCAGGTATGCGACAGGATCTGAACTATGTGCCAAAGGAATCTAACCCCAGTACCACTGGGCATGTTTCCAAGTTGTTGGACTCTTGTTTTATAGGATGATCGCTGAAACTGCTTAAGTTACATAAAAGCTCACTTTAATTAAGAAAAAATATATAGCGCCCTTCAAAACACTCCTGACCTGAATGTATTTGAAGGCTCTTTTTGCAGATGGTTTGGAATAATCAAACAATTTAAGAGTATAATCCCTTGAACCAGAGGCCAGGATCTGTTCTGTTGGGTGGAAAGCGAGACACGTGACTTCATCGACATGGTCGTAAAGAGTTCGGATCACTGGATGGTTTTCCATGTTCTGCTGTGCAGTCTCATTCATCATGACCTAGATGAACAAGAAAAGCAGAGATGCTCAAGGTACAGGAGCTGCCTGAATCAAAGTTCACAATTCACAACCACAGTAAATCAAACTGGTTTAAATCATACGCTTGTTCCCATGAGAGCGGGCCACAGAAGGTAGGCAGTGTGCTCCTGGGACTCTTACCTCTATTGGCATGGCACTTTTGGCCAACATTCTTTCTGTGTCGAGGATCTTTATAGAAGCATCAGCAGACCCTGTGGCTATTAACTGCCCATCTCTGCTGTACGTGGCGACGCGACAGGGTCCTTTATGGGATGTGACATAGCATGTTTCATACTCAGAAGCCTCTGGGGACATGGTCTGGACATCTGCATCAAATTCCAAGTCAATCCCTGTGCCAGGGGCAACTGTATCTGAACGACCAATTGCATACTGAACTGCAGTGTCATCATTTTCCATTCCTGAAAGAAATCAAAATTAAGAGCATGAAAAAACTGTCTTTTTAAAAGAAAAAAGTTCTGGAGCCAAACTGCAAAGATGCTGGCAAACAGCTTACAACTTTTTGGCACTGCACGATACCTACTATCTGACAAAATTATTTATCACGCCCATGTTCCCAAGGTTCACAGGATTGTGAGGCGACATGCACCAGTGCAGGATTAGGCTCCTGCAGCCAAAGTAATTTCTCTTATTAACTTGAAGGTTTACTACTTTATTGACAATAACAGAAACTCTTTTTTCCTATTCTGAATTTTAATATTTTAAAGGCTGAGATCTGGCAGTAGCAGCTCTAAAGCTCAGTAGGAGAGCTACACTGTTAACATTACTGAAATGTTCCTGAAGTGATAGTTAAGTAAACTCAAGTTTACCATGTAAAAAAATATTTTTTTTGAGATAGCATCTCACTAGGTAGTTTAGGCTGGCCCTGAATTTGTGACAATCCTCCTGCCTCAGCTTCTGGGAGTACTGGGATTATAGGTGTGCGGCACCACACCCAGCAGAAATTTTTTTTTTTTTTACATTTAAAAATACCCGCACATCACAAGACCAATACTGTACACTTAATGCAGGAAAAATCAGAACTTATGAACAGGAAAATAATAATCTTGAATTTTACCACCCAGAGATAACTACTGTTAACATTGTGGGATGAACTCTCTAGCCCTTTCCCTACGTACATAATTCTTTTACTTTTCAAAATAAAAATAGGCCTGTACTATGTAACATGTTGTGACTTGCTTGTTCATTTAACTGCATAGGATAAAAATCTTTCTGGCTTAATAAACTTTGTAACAATATTATTGTATTTAATTTCACAGGTATTTAACAATCTGTAGCTAACTCCTTATTGTTTGGCATTTTAGTTTATCCATTTTATTTCCTCAGGATACATTTTCACAATTGGCATTACCAAGTCAAAGGGAGTAGGCTTGTGTGATAATTCAGTATTAGGCTGAGTATTTCAGATAATGCAAATAAACACACTGACCCAGCTTCAAGTCTTCATAATCTGGACCCCACTTACCCCTTCAGTATCAGCACTATACTTGGTGTATACTGGATATGAACACAGTAACTATCTTTAAAACACTCTGCTATGTGAAAACATCTAAAACTTCATTACAGGATCTACAGATTTGCATTCACAAGATACCTAGTTTGATGAGATGCAGGAGCTGCTCTGAAGGTGCACAGACAGACTGGGGTTTGATTTCATTGATGAGGCCATTGGCAATGCTGATATAGCCATCGTAGAGCAGCTGGCTAATGATCAGCTTGTAGAGCTGCTGTCGGTCCTTCAAGCCCACTCTGGTTCTGTACATCTTGGAGAGAGGATGGTATCCCTGGCCAGCTGCAAGAGGAGAAAACAGGTTGATGGTAAAGGACAGAGGCAGCAGTAAAGCAGAAGCACAGGACTCTGGTCACTTAATATTGTAGGGCCTCAATCACAGTGGGCTGCTGACTTCATTTTTCTCAGTGCAGGCTGTTTAAATGTTAAATAAATTACTGGAGGTAAAGAAATTGGTGCAAATATAGCATTGAGCACAGCCCTTGGAATACAGATACTATTCCAGTAATGTTAACTGATACTTACAGTATAATCTATCATCAACTTTTCTTCTCTGCCAGACTACCCACATGTGGATTTTTAGTCTTTATTGCTATTCCAGAATCTTCCATTTCTTTTGTTACTGACGGTTTGCAAAAAGCAAGATAGCTGCTATTTTGTCGAATGTCTGGATTACTGCTTCTACCAGCTGAGCTGTATGTTCACTAATGGCCATTATGTTCATTCTTAAAACATGCTTTAAGGCAACTACATTTTATTACTATAATCATATACTGTATAGTAAATCAATACACAACAAAAGCTATGGTGGGCAACAAAAGCTACTGTGCTATGAAAACTAACCCAAGTCGAACACTTTGGAAAGATTTAAAGGTAAACTGCAAACTAGGCCCAGGAGCACACATCTGTAATCTCAGCATTCTGGGAAACTGAGGAAGAAGGATAGCAAGTCTGAGCCCAGCCTCAGTAAGTTGGCAAGAACCTGTCTCAAAATAAAAAGATAAAAACACTGGGTAGGAATGTAGCTCAGTGTGAATCCTGGGTTCAACCCCTAGTATCCAAAAGAAAATTGCTTAATAAAATATTGCTAGATAAGTTATGGACACAACTATAAAAATGGAAAGAAATGTAAAAATCTGGACAGATTGTGCCCTCAGAAGGTTTTACAAGTGTCCATGTTCGTCAACATTTGAAAGGAAAACAGAAAACTGCAGAGAATGATTTCTGGTTTATGCAAAAAAAGCACTCCAATTGTTGATCATTAACAAATGTCAGTATCTACATGTATGCATACGTTTGGACATATGTCAGAAAGCTGCAGGATTCCTGGAGACAGACAGCAATAAAGAATAAAAGTGACCTCAGGGCCAGAATTCTTATTTACTGTGCAATACTAATGGGTGTCAGTAACAGTGAACAATTTCGTTTTTGGTACTGGTGACTGAACTCACCCACACTGAGCTACACCCTCACCCCTTTCTAATGAGACACTCTTGATAAAATCATATATTGTCCCTGACTGGGCTTGAATTTGCAATCCTCCTGCCTCAGCCTCCTAGGCCGCTGGAATCACAGGCGTGCACCATCAGACCCAACTAACAACATATATTAAGCACTTCCTATTTGCTAAAAGCTGGGCTAAGTATTTCATAAGCATTAGCTCGTTAAACAAAAGCATTCAACGTATTCAAGTATATGCAGAAACAAACGTATGTGTAGAAAATACTGGGTCACAAAATGAGCACTGAAAAAGGCTGGGGCAGGAGGGATGACTGCGAAGTTCGAGGTGCACCTAGGCACCTTGTCTCCAAAAATACACAGAGGACTAGGGATGTAACTCTGTGCGCAGGTTCGGTCTCCGGTCAATTAAGGACAGGGAAGGTCAGGACAGGAAGAAAAAAGGAAAGGAAGAGAGAAAGAAATAAAGAACTAAAGAGCGAGCCGGGGATTTAGCTCAGTGGCACCGCGCCTGCCTCGCAAGCGCAAGGTCCTGAGTTCGATCCCCAGTACCGGGGGAGGGGGGGAGAGGTTGTCGAGCCCCCTCTTCTCAACTCCTATATAACCTTCGCTCGCCGGGCCAGGAGAAGCCTAATTTCTCCAATTCGCAAGTGAGGACACCGAGGCACGAGGGCAGGACAGGAAGATCCCGACCCAAGACCCGGGTAGACAGAAGACGGCCAGGGTGAGAGTGCAGACGCTCTCCTCACCCGAACCCCGCTACCACCCCCGAGGCTGCAGCGAGGCGCTGAGAAAGAGGGCGTGCGCAGGCCCAGCCCCGCAACTAGGGAAACACGAAGGGGCGCACGACTCCCTCATCGCTTCCGACCCTGCTCGCCTCGCTCCACTCCTTCACACGGTCCACTAAAGGCCCCAGCCAAGAGCATCAGCCACTCTCCCTGTGTCCCCGGACCTCCGTACCCGCGGATCCCGCTCTCCTTCTCCCGCTCTCTCCTAGAAAAATGGAGGTACGTATCTGATCAATCGAGCGCTCCGAGCGCACGCTCACTGCGCACGCGCAAAGGACGACAAGCTGAGCGCCGCGCTGTGGATTGTCCCACTCTCCCTTGCCCTCCTCCCCATCTTATTAGCACGTTGGAGAAGTCCGTTCACTTCCTCCGGCTTTAGCTCCTATGCGACGACTCTCGTGCCAAGGGATGCTTCACGGACAAATGCCCGATCGTGGAGAGCCTCGGAGTGGCTGGAACGGCCCTGGGTCGGGCAGGCCGTTGGATCCACCACTTCCGGGCTCTTCCGCGCTAGTGCGCCTGCGCTTCGCCTGCGCCTCGAAACGTGATCAGGACGTCGCGTTCTCTGTGAGCCTATCACGAGGCAGCTTCCTTGTAGCACCGGCCAATCACCTTTCAGAGTAGAGGGTTTAACTCTTATTTAAAAAGAGGAACCTTTGAATCGCAACGGCTGAGCTTCTGCAAAGACTCAGTGGCCTTGGCTTGAAGGCAGGAGAGCCGGCGGGTTGGTAGGTTGGGGCCACGGCCAGGGTGGTCATTGGGAGTGCAGGGTCTGCGGGCCAGGAGGACAGGATCCGCGTCCTTCCTCCGATCGTGTCCACGGGGCCTTCATCCGCTCCTGGCCTCGTTACGCTCTGTGAGATGCCGCTGTTAGGTTTTACGGCTGAAGTGGAAGGGATTGTTCAGTGGCGTTGGGTTAAAGGCTTTTCTGATTGGTGAGCACCTGGGTAATAAAAGTGTCTTTGCAGTCTTGGGGTTTACTTTCTGGTGGGGCTGGGGGAACAGATGTAAGAGCTAGCAGGATAACTCGCAGTTGTGGTGGGTGTTGTGAAGGAGAAAAAAACAGACATGTGGTTTATGAGGGCTGTTACAGGTAGGCTAGCATGGGAAGTCTGTTATCCTCCTAGCTGGATCGGTGAGTGAATTCATGAAAAAGAACCAGCTCAAAAAGCCCTTTCTGTGCAGCTTCTACCTAAGTCCCTTGAAGCAGTTATATCGGAATTACTTGAGGTCCTGCCTGAAAATATAGCCCATTGCCGATCCACTAAATTAGGATCGCCTAGGATAGGACTCAGGTGTGGTTAACAAGCTCTCCTGGGCATTCTTATGTTTTCATTGATTAAATGTTAGGTCCCACCAGTGCATGCTATCTGATTAAACTGGGGTTGGAGCCAAGATTGTATTTCTAACAGGCATCTGGTGAGGTGATGTAGTTACTGTCACTGACTTTTTAAATGTTTCCACCCCCCCAACTTTCTATTTTAATTAGACTCTTCAACTTCTTTGTCCCTCTCCTTCATCTGTGGAGAAATTTTTAGGTGTGAAGTAGGAAAAAATAAGTATAAACCATCTGTGTAAAGTTTTCTACTTAGGATAGTAAATGTCTGGTTTGAATGAACACATCATGTGAAGGTCATCTGATCACGTGATTCCTGAAGCCAGGTGCAGATCCAAATCACCTGAAGAGCATGAAGAGCACCATGGGGGGAGAGCTTTCCCCAGGATCCTGGATCAGACTTGTATTCCACTCTGCTTATTATTCATCTTCCTGAGAAAAGCATAGTAAATAGGAGCACATGTCTGTAGCTCTTGTCGGAAGAATGTGGAATAAAAGTCCTTGGTTCTGTTATCTTGTTAGTCTGCTAATTTAATTGTTGTGGGAAAGTGATGAAAGCATTAAAGCTTCAAATAACTGGCATTACAGATGTGCACCACCTTGCTGGCTTGAATGTTTTAATCTGTTCTTTTTTTCCCCCTCAATATTTAGGATCCACCCAGGGTAATCTACCACTGAGCTACATCCTCAGCCCTTTTTATTTTGAGACAGTCTCTTGCCTCATTGCAGGTGGAGAACAGCACTCAAACTTTTGATCCTCCTGCCTCACCTTCCCTAAGTGCTGTGATTATAGGTGTATACCACCACACCCAGCAAACCTGGTCTTATTGTTGATTTCCTCTGTCCGTAGATTGGTTCATTCCCAAAGCATTGGAGCAGTTGTATTTTCTGCTGGGCAATGTTCTACTTTCCAGGGGAGCAACAGTAAATGCAATGGGATTAAGCCGTTGCTCTTTGAGAACTTACTTCTGTGGAAATTCCAAGCAAGTACAGTACTGGATGTCTGAATTTGGTGAGACAGAAAACAGATGGGCAAAATATGGAGAAAAAGAAGGGAGAGATGATTGTGGAAGGGGATACTGTATTGAGCAGAGACCTGAATGAAATGAAGGAGTGGGAAGAGCTTGACAGGTAATGGGAATAGGAAGTTCAAAGGCCCTGTGGCAGAGGACTTTTTATGGCTGCTGTGCTGTTTATAAGAGGAGATGAAGTCAGAGTGGTAGTTGGGGTCCACATTTATGAGACTTCATAGAGCTGTCTTTGCAGGTAGGAGTTTGAATTTTTTTATTAAACTGGGGAGTCATGGGGAGCTTCTGAACTGAGGACCAACACATCTGCTGTGTTAATGGGACTGCTGTCTGCAGTGTTGAGAATGGACTATAGCAGGGCAAGGGGGCAAGTGGGGAAACCATTGGAAGTCTCTTGCAAATAATCCAGGAGAGAGAGTTATAGTTGGATCAGCTAGTAGTAGCATTAGAGGTAGTGAGCAGTGGTTTTTGAAGGTAGAGCCTATAAAATGTACTGATGGATTGACTATAGGGTTTGAGAGAGAGATAACCAAGTAAAGGATTGTGCTAGGGCTCTCGGCCCGCACAGCCGGCAGCATGGGCCTGCTGCCAGTTGAGGTGGGGACATTGGTGAGAACAAACTTGGCAAGGTTATGAGAGGGGAATGGTCAAAACTTCAGTTTGGGACATGACATGCTAAAATTCAGATACCTCGCTAATAACCAGGTGGAAATGTGTAGAAAATACGTGAAGTCTGGGACTTGGGAGAAGTCTGGGCTGGAGATGGATATCTGGGCATTCAGCCCGGGGATGGGTATTGGAATCTAAGAGAGTAGATGAACTTGAGAGTGAGTGTAGATAGAGAAATACTGTTGGGCTTTGAGCTCAGGGGACCCCATGAACAGGGAGGGGAAACAGTGCTGAGGTGAGACGACTAGGTTCCCTTTTGGAGGTGTCAGGGCTGAGATTCCTGGCAGACATTTTTGGGAGATCCTGAGCAGATACTTGGATATCTGAGTCCAGCAGTCAGAGGAAGAGGTTGGGCAGAAGATGCATTTTTAGAATTTTCTAGTGAAATGTTTAGAGCCAAGGCATCAGCTGAGGGCCCCTATGAAGGGAGTAGATGGGGAAATGCAGGGTCCCAAGACTGATTCCTGGGTAACCCAGGGATCCGTTCATTCCCAACAGTGTAGCAAGACCCTGTTTCAAAGTAAAAAGAGCTCAGTGGTAGAGTGCCCTGGATGGATCCTCAATACTGAGAGGGGAGGAAAAAACAGGTTAGAACATTTCAAGCCAGGAAGGTGGTGCAGATCTGTAATCCCAGCCACCTGGGAGGCTCTGAAGCTTTCTTCACTTTCTCACGAGCCTGGCCTTTGGGGAAAAGCCAGACCCTTGTGCACTATGTGTATCAGGTGAGAAATTTCCCTTACCAGCTTCATTTGAACAAGGAGACGTGTAGAATTCCATGTGTTGTGGAGGCCTTTTCATCAGGAAGCTATAACTGCTTGGCATAACTACACGTTGAAGCAGACTTACTGACAGTCTCTCTTTCTTTTCAGGCATCATGGACAGATCTAAAGAAAACTGCATTTCAGGGCCTGTAAAGGTAAATTGAGTTATCTATATCACAGTCACATTTATAAAATGCACATGGGACTCTGGAATTACTCTGTGGTATAACTGTGGATCCACCCCCCCAACCCCCCGCCGATGCTGTGGGATATGTCTGCATGCCTGCTCATGTGGACGTCAGGCCTGTTTCAGAAATAACTGACTTTATCTTTGAAGTCCTCTGTGCTTTCTCTGTGGAACACTCGTCCTGAGGAGCTGGTGCCGGATCTTGAGCCTTGGGTTTCCAGCAGAGTCTCCTGGTTATGAGGGACCCCTGAAGGGGGGGCCTCTCACCCACTCTCACTTTAGTGTGTTTAGCTCAGGATATTAGTTAACTGTTTAAATTTGTAATACAATAGTATAGCTGTATAAAGAATGCATTTTAGTAATAACTTTTTGAAGGGCGTAATTTGTTTCCTCATTATCAAAGTTCTTTTTGTTTAACTCCAATTTTCAAGTATGTGGAAAATGAAACATTTTGGCAAAAAAAATAAAAGCTTATGTGGAAGCCTTCTATTCTAAGATTTAGATCATCTTCAAATGCCTTCACTTGAAGATAACGACTGAAGAACACTGATAGAAGATTTCTATCAGTCTTTCTAAACACATTATCAAAGAAATTTCAGTGAAATTGATTTTGGCATAAAAATTTTTTTTTTGGTACGAGGGATCGAACTCGGGACCTTGTGCCTGCAAGGCAGGCAGCGGAACCACTGAGCTAAATCCCCAGCCCTGACATAAAATTTTAATAACAATTTAGGAGTATATTCTCAAAACATTGAAAAGTTTTAGAAAATGTTGACTCTCTTCCTCACTGGCTGGAAGTTTAGTAATGAGCATTTGTTAATGAAATGTGATTTTGTGTGTGTGTGTAATTGGAGGCATTCAGATATTTTCAGCCATCTGCTAACTGTATCCTCTGGAAACTTATTAAAAGAGCTTTCCCATTTATTATTCTAAGTGATATTCATTTATTATCAGTGATGTTCACTGGAAAACAAACTTTGTTGAACTCTCAAAGCATTCATCTTTCATTTACGCATATCATAAAGCTTATTTTCTCTCGCATCCTAGGCCACCGTTCCACTGGGTGACGGCCCGAAACGTGTCGTGGTGACTCAGCAGCTTCCTTCTCAGAATCTGCCATCGGGAAGCAGTGGCCAGGCTCAGCGGGTCCTGTGTCCTTCAAACTCCTCCCAGCGGGCTCCTTCAAAGGCACAAAAGCTCGTCTGTAGTCAGAAACCGCTACAGAAGCAACTGCAGGCTGCCAGTGGGTCTTGGCCCGTCTCTCAGCCAGTGAGTAACACCCAGAAGTGCGAGCAGCCCCGGCCGCCGGCACCTGGTGAGCCAGCTTTTTGAGATTCTTGTTGTCTTTCCAGCTGGTTGTTGCTAAGGGAACCAAGTACATGGACTTGCATTTATTGTTTGGAGCCCCAGCTTTTATATCCCATCTGTAGAGGATGAGAAGAAAACACGATGTATGTTGGAGTGGCAGTGTCTCTGGGGCCAGGCCTTCCAAAAATACAGACGATTCCGGATTCCTGTGCTCTTTGCGAAGTTGGGCATTCAGAGAGGACACTGTATGAAATCCGAGCCCTTTTGATGACTTATAAGTGGGTCAGGTACAGGGTGTTTGTAGCAGGTATGCTTGAGGAGCCAAAAAGTGAGTTTTGGTACGTGGCGGGAAATGCAGGGAAGCAGGGTGCCGGAGTGAGGTCACCATGTGACATTGCTGGCTGTTTTAAGTGAGGCCCCATGTCTTGTGCATTGGGAAGTTAGTGAAGGTTTCCTGAGCAAGAAGGGACTAATTCGGCTTTTAGAAATCTTACTGGGGATGTGTTGAATGAGTTGGAGAGGAGCAGTGCTAGATCGAGGGGATACCAGGCAGGTGAAGGTTAAGGTCAGAGAAGGCAGTGGCGTGGCTGGGTGGAGCAGGATGGATGTTAGCACTTATTATTTACTAGCTGTCAGTGCCTCCACACAGTGGATTCTGAGACATGGTTCCTTCGTCTGCATTGCCACGTTCAGTCCTCCTCTGCTCGATGAAGATACTAGCATTATGAACTCATTTCACAGAGGAGAATCTAAGAAGCTGTTAACTTATGCTAAGACATGACGAGGATAGAAAGATGCAGATAAATTTGAGAGCTCATGTAGGGTGCACATTCAGGAGAACGGGGTGATTAAGCTAGTCCTGAAAGGATGAGTGAGGAAGAGTTAGAGCCGGATGATGGTGTAGGGGAGAAACAGAACTTCCCCTCTGCCCTCAGAAGGTTTGATAATGGATCTATAAAATAAACTGAAGTAGATAGCCAATTCTGTGTGGAAGCAAAATGTGAGGCTCAAGAAAGGGCCAGGTGATTGAGCTTCAGAGGGAATAGGGGCTCCAGTCCTCTGGTGGGAAGGGGACGGGGAAGGCAGAGGGATGCTGCACAGAGCAGGGGAGTTAATATGTGGAGAAGCCCGGCTGTGCTGCAGGCACATAGACCTTGTCTTGGGTGAAGGGCATTGTCCCTCAGCAGCCTCTGCCCGACAGTGCTGCCTTCCTAGTGTCCGTTTCCTTAGAGATGTTACTTTTTCCAGAGGACAGCTTTTCAGAGCTCCAATTATGTCTGCAGTTTCTCCAAATAACCAGCTCAAAATATGCTCCGAACGCCTGAGCAGAATGAACTGTGCTGTTAGGGTTTGAGGTATTGGAGGTGGAACTAATGGACCATATTTTTGCAGCTAATGAAATAGTAACTCCAGTCCCCTGCTGAGAAACTTTATTGTACGTTTTTCTGAATTTGTGGTTTGTTTCTTTTGTTTTGCTTTGAATGGTTTCTGTATTTCCCCTGGAAAGAGGGCTGCTGGCCTGTTTTGTTGCATACCGTAATTTGTATGGCTGGCCCGAGATGTCGGGGAGGGGTGGGTAGCAAGTGACAAGGCAAGCGCAAAGACCCGAGTTCGATCCCCAGTACCAAAAAAAACCCCAACAAAACAAACAAAAAAAATGCAAGTGACAAGGCAGCCACTTGTTATGGGTGCGAGGCTTGGTCATGCTGCCTTAGAAGCTCTTGACTTGGAAACTGAGGCTTCTGGGAGAATCCACCTTGTCTCAGTCTTAAATTATTGGCACAAGGCCTAATTGTACATTTCTACTCTATTCTAGAAATTCTGCAAGGACTCTATGTGGTAAGAGCCAGGTTAGGGTTTTGTTATCTTTTTTCCACAAAGAAAACTTAAAAAGCCCAGATTTTGTTATTCTTGACATACTGTTAATATCTTGGTGACCATTCTTAGATCTCTAGTCAGATTTTAAAACTTTATCTGTATAGTTATTCTAAAAGCAGGATTTTAACTTATACATAGGAGATAATCCTGAGAAGGAAGTGGAATCAAAACCGAAAAATGAAGAGTCAAAAAAGTAAGCTTTCTTATTTATTTTTAAAGTTCTGTGTTCTACTAAAGTATACCATTTCATTGCAAATTTAGTTATATCTATTACAGAACCTATTAATGGATATAATCTATTAAATGTCTATTCAATAGTCTAGTACAGAAAATGCATGAGGGTCCTCCATACCCTTAGAAATGTGTATATGTGGTTTATATATGCTTCAATTCTTGTATAAAAGTACAAGTACAAATTTTTGTTTGAGCTGGGCTCTCACTAGGTTAGTGATGATGAGCCTTTCAGCGCTTTTAGTGGTAACAGCCAGCTGTGGTACGTGTGCCATAGGTTTGCCACCACTGCACTAGGTTGTCTAGGCTGGCCTTCAATTCCTGGGCTCCAATGATCCTCCTGCCTCAGCCTTCTTAGTAGCTGGGTTTATAGGTGCACACCATCACACCTAGCTAAAAGTGCAAGTTTTTTTTAATGTCCTAGGCAACGTACTGAGCTCAAGGCCAGCCTGGACTACACAGCCTGTCTCAAATAAGAAAAAAAGTCATATAGTATTAATATATTTGTTCTGTATTGTAAAGGTCAGCCACAATATCTTCTGTGTTTTTTAAATGCTTGCTCATAATCTCTGAACTGGACTCTAGCATGGAGGAGCGGGGCCAGGATGCCCCATAGAGTTAGCTCACGACAGGCTTTCTCAGTCTTACTCTACTGGTTCTCACGCCCAAAGCCGAGGGGGACCTTTCTGTATCTGTTAGGGGCAGTGGCTCCCTGTGCAGCCCAGCAGCTCTCCGCCTGTGAGACTGTTAGGTTCTCAGAGGTGGAGGGAGGTGCCTGCTTCCAAAGAGGCCCATTTGTGGTCCCCGAAGTGTTCTTCCTCTCCAGTCACTTGCCCTTTTTTATGGTCTCTGTTAAGCACTGTGCATAGATCTGTACCCCTGAGCTCCGGGACTCTCTCTGGGAGCTTCTGCTGTAAAGATCTAACTAAGACTGTTCCTCAACACTGGCTCATGCATAAATGGCAGCTGGGAAAGTTGGGGTTTAATGTTCACGACTCATTAGTTATTGGCTTGTTCTTGCTGAGGATACCTACTCAGCACAATATGTTGGATACGAAATTTTAGAATGTGTCTATCTCTCATTGATAACTTGTTAGCAAAGATTTTTTTCCTTCACCCTTAAAATGCTTCACATAATTCTAGGAGACAGTGGACTCTGGAAGATTTTGACATTGGTCGCCCGCTGGGTAAAGGAAAGTTTGGCAATGTTTATTTGGCAAGAGAAAAACAAAGCAAGTTTATCCTGGCACTGAAAGTGTTGTTTAAAGCTCAGCTGGAGAAAGCAGGAGTGGAGCATCAGCTCAGAAGAGAAGTAGAAATACAGTCCCACCTTCGGTGAGTGCCACACTGCTGTGCCATTCGTAAGAGTTAAGAGTATGAACTGCTTTTTAGAGTGCTTGTTTCACAGTATCATGAAGAATGATTGAATCTGTCACTTGCATAGGGTTTATCTAGAGCTATGGTCCTGAAAAATCATTTGAGGATTTAATGTTGTATTAATGAAATAGTTTACTTGGACCAGTTCCTGTGTGTGTGTGTGTAAGAGGATGACAATCCCTTATTCTGAGGTGACCAGAAGTTGCACTTGGGCAGCCTGTAGCTTGACTTGGGTCAGTGAGATTTTCTTTTTTCCTTTTTGGTATCAGGGTTTTCAGATTTGAATCAGATTGCTGATACTTAAGGCCAACAGCATCCAGCCTATATCCACCCACCGTCACCTGGGGTGGGAGTCACAGGTGGGTGTGGTGGGCCAGGACAGCTGGTGCTGCCAGCACACTGTGCTTCTGTGCCCCATGGCCTCTTTCTCCTGCTGCCACGGCACTGTTTTTTTTTTCTGGGGGTGGGGTGTTGGGCATTGAATCCAATCCACTTTGAGCTGCATCCTCAGCCCTTTTTAAAATTTTTTATTTTGAGATCAGGTCTTGTTACGTCACTAAGTTGCCCAAGCTAGGCCCAGGCTTGCTGATCATCCTGCCTCAGCCTTCCAGAGCGTGAGATTAGAGGTGTGTGCCATCACGCCTGGCCTGCACTGTGGTCCCTTGCACTTTTATCTCCCTTATGTTTGCATATCACACTATTGTGTGAAGGCTGTGCTCCTTTTTTAATATGCAGAAATCATTATTTAGCTGAGTTTCTCCCTCAAGTATAAAGAAGGAGATAATATTAACCTGAGATCTGTTGATACTGAAATGTATGCAAAGTTAGATGCTTATGTGTATCTTAGAGTGGGCCTGTGGTTTCAGGTTCTCACGTGGGGGATGAAACACCAATGTTTTATTCACATGAGGGGTTCATTTTAATATTTTGTAAATAATGTAGAATCAGTTAAGTGTTACAGTCTTCATCCTTTGTTGCAGGCATCCCAATATTCTCAGGCTGTATGGTTATTTCCATGATGCCACAAGAGTTTATCTAATTCTGGAATATGCACCACTTGGGACAGTCTATAGAGAGCTTCAGAAACTTTCCAAGTTTGATGAGCAGAGAACT